GTGTAGAACCCAGGCAGACTACTTAAATTAGGTACCAAAAGTACACGTGTGGCTAGTTGTATCCTTGTGAAATTGATATAATATCATAATTACCTGAATAAAGCTAAGTGCCGGGGACCTAAGTGGTTACCTTAATATTTAAAAAAAAAAAAAAAAACTTTTATTAAAGAATCATTAAATATTAAAAAACATAAGTCTTATATCTAAAATTATTTTTTATATTTACTTTACTAAATAAATTAAAGAAAAGTATTTTTTTTGTCAAATTTTATATAAATTTGGGTGAGTCAACTCATTTGATTTATATTTGACAACATTTTAAACCCCTGTAAGAGGATATTGCTAATTTTTTTACAATAACATTTAATTAAAATCAGGTGATGATCATGTATTATTTATATTATGTAATCTAAACAAATTTTGGTTATTCTAGGAAGAATTAGTGATATATGTAAGTATATTTTTTTTGCAGTTTAAAATTATATAAACATAATTAGACAGGTTTAATGTATATACTGTAAAAATTTTATAAAAAAAATTGTATTTTTAAAAACTTTTATATATAATGTATATTTAATTTTTGTATAAATTTTTTTTAAACAATATATATATATATAAATTGATCTACGTTTACTCTACTTTTAATATGTTAGCTAAAGTATAATATATATATATAAATAAAGAACTTTTATATTTACTATCTTAGTGTGCTAAGAAATATTTAATACATAAGATGCAGGTATTCTAATCATTATAAATAATTATAAAAAGTATATATTTGAATTTCTACTTGATAGATTTAAAATCATCTTAATTTAATTCTGATTATATAATAACTAAGTTAATAGTATTTAATCATTTTTATTATTGTTGGTTTGATACACAATAGAATTCTCAACTATAAAATTAATTTACATGGCATTATTATTGCTTAAGCAAAACTATTATATAATGACACAAACTATAATATATATAAATTCATAATATCGATTTTTTATTATATCTGTAAAACTATTTTAACAAATCCCAAAAATTTATTATAATAATTTTAGTTTAAATATATATTTTTTATGCTAAATCATATATATATACTAAAAACTTAATCAATTTTACATTAGTGTTTAATAAAAAAAATCTTTTATATATACTAGAATTATATTAATACTATATATTATATATATATGGTATACTGAGTAGGTGAAGTCTCTATATAGATCTCTTTTTTTACTATCTCTACTAAGATTTATAGTTCTTAATTTTAAATACAATTTATATATAATATTGCAATAATTACTATTTTAGTGATTAGGATCTATATATAGATTTTTCACCCACCCAGTATATTATATTATAAATCTATTTTATATATAAAATAAAATATAAAAGGTGACATATAATGCCACATGTAGAGCTAGTCATATTAATATATATAAACTTTGTATTTGATAATTGAAAAAATATATTAAGATACTATTATTATTTAACAAATAAGCAATAATTGTGATTAATCAAAAAGGTATTTTAAGATACTACTAAATGAGTATAATTAATCATTAATTTTAAATCTATAAATAAAACAAAAATTAAATATTTACAAAATTATTTAGAATTTTTATAACAATATATATTAAAAAATAAATTAATAAAATTTTGATTTTGTACGTGTGGCTAGTTGTACCCTCATCATAATTGTAAACGTTGTTAATTATCTAATAAAAAGCCCCTGGCCATAAAGATCACCTTAACACTGAAAAAAAATTATATATACAGTGTTATAAATAATAATAATATGGAGTGTTATAAGTTAAAAGGGCCCATTTTTACATATAAACAATTTCGAGTAAATCAGGTTTCAAAAATGCTGATCAACACGTGATCAGCCAAAAATATGATCTTAAAATAGAATTCCATAGTTCTAAGAAATTTCAGAACATCTGAATAATTGACCAATTATATTTTATAATAAATTATTTTCTTGGTTTCTTGGTCGTTTAAAGTGATTTTCTTCTTTGCTTCATGGTGATTTTTGTTATTGATTTATGTAGTTTTTTTCATTTAATATTGGTTTATTTATTTAATAGTAAGTTTTACAAGTTTAATGATAGATTTTCATTTCTTGGTATCTTTTGAGGTTCCTGTTGATTTTTGGGATTATTTTGGGCTCTTTTGATTCTCCCAGATTTTTGATTGCTTGAACTGGTATAAGGATAAATATCAATCCAAGTTACTATTTCTTCTTGTTTTTGGTTTCTTTTCTCTTACTACCATTCTTTCACTTTTAGGTTTGCTCTTTGAAATATAAAATGGTACGTTATAGAGTATATAATGGCATCGGTAGTTTTTTGCGGACTCTTGTAATTCTTCTGAAGAATTAAAAAAGTTCACAAAAAACCACCAGTGATTTTTAGACTCTTGATTCTTCTGGTGGTGGACTCTTTCAATTATTCCGGTGGTGGACTTTTTTGATTACGGTAGTTCTGGACTCTTTTGATTTTCCCAGGTTTTGGTGATTACTTGAACTGGTATAAAGATAAGTACTAGTCCAAGTTTTCTATTTCTTTTTTGTTTCTTTTCTATTGCTAATATTTTTTTTTCTTTTAGGTTTGTTTTTTAAGGTTCGCTTTTTACTTCAGGACATGAAATAGCATGCGACTTAGAACATGTAATGGCACTGGTGGTTCTTTGTGGACTCTTTTGATTCCTAGGAGAATCAAAGAGTCCACAAAAAACCACTGGTAATTCTTAGACTCTTAATTCTTTCAGTGTTGAACTCTTTTAATTCTCCTAGTAGACTCTTTCGATTCTTCCGGTGGTGGACTTTTTCGATTCTCCCAGTAGTTCTAGATTTTTTTGATTCTCCCGAATTTTGGTGATTACTTGTACTAGTATAAAGAGAAGTACCAGTCCAAATTATCTTGTTTTTTTTCTATTCTAATATTTTTTTTCTCTTTTAGATTTGCTCTTTACTTTAGGATATGAAATGGCATACGACTTTAAACATGTAATGGCTTGGTAGTTTTTTGTAGACTCTTTTGATTCTCCAGGTAAATCAAAAGAGTCCACTAATAATTCTTAGACTCTTGATTCTCTTGATGGTAGATTCTTTTGATTCTCCCGGTAGTGAACTTTTTCAATTATCCTAGTAGTCTGGACTCTTTTGATTCTCCCAAGGTTTGGTGATTACTTGAACTAGTATAAAGATAAGTATCAGTCTAATATTTTATTTCTTTTTTGTTTCTTTTCTCTTGCTAACATTTTTTTTCTCTTTTAGGTTTGCTCTTTACTTCGGGATGTGAAATAGCATAATTTAGAACATGTAATAGCCCTGGTGGTTCTTTGTGGACTCTTTTGATTCTCCTAGAGAATCAAAAGAGTCTACAAAGAACCGCCAGTAATTCTTGAACTCTTGATTCTCCTAGTGATGAACTTTTTTAATTCTCTCAGTAGATATTTGTAGACTTTTTCGATTCTTTCAGTGGGTCTTTGCAGACTCTTTCAATTTTCTTGGTTTTGAACTTTTTTGATTTTCCCAGTGATTTTTTCTAAATACTTTCGATTCTCCTTGTGATTTTTCTGAGTGTTTTTATAATATTTATTATAGATAAACAAGCTAAAGGTTCTTTAGTTGTTAAATTTATTGTTTCAATAATTTTATCTGATTCATGTTTGTTCTGGTTTTCTTTTCGATCTATATTTTGTAATAATTTTTATACGTAAAAACTTTTATAATGTATAAATTTTTACTTTGATTTCATTTATTAATAAAATCTTGGTTGTTTGGAATTTATGAAAATAGCTATAAAATTGAATTTACCGAATCTGCATTGCTTGCTCTTGTATGTACGAATTTATATCAATAATATTTTTTTTTTTTTTTACCTCATTATGTATCCTGAAGGTCCTTTGATAAATTAACATATTTTGTTGCTACGTATATCACCTGTGGTGTTCCCTAGCTTCTTCGTGCCATGTAGTATCAAGACTATTACCTTTGTGACATCCCAAGTCCCTGGTCCCATGGTGTAGGACTCTGATCTCAGGGTCTGCAGTTTTTTATTGTTATGGCCTCATAGTCTTTTTTCTATTGTTGCTAATAATAGGAGTTTTACCTGAAGTGT